GGTCCAACAACCCACATAAAGTTAACAAAGATACCAGATCCAACAACCCACATAAAGTTAACAAAGATACCAGGACCAACAACCCACTTAAAGTTAACAAAGATACCAGGTCCAACAACCCACATAAAGTTAACAAAGATACCAGATCCAACAACCCACATAAAGTTAACAAAGATACCAGGTCCAACAACCCACTTAACCAACAACCCATTTAAAGTAAACTAAGTAATTTTTATTAAATCAATTAAAATAAAGTAAGCCGACGCTTAAGTGCAACTGGTTTAATAAATCTATTGCCTGGCTATTTGCTTTATTAAATTTTCTCTTTGTTTTTCCAGAACCTTGCGGTGATTCATCTGTCACAATATGGCGGTGTCGTCTGCCTGGTGTGTGGATCACAAAACCAAAATCCAGCCGACATGCCCTAACCTGAAGTGGAGCTCTGAACAAGACCGCTCTACCATCAGTGTTTCTTTAATACTGTTTTCAACAGGGATGCGGGGGTAGGTGCATTGGCAATAGTATATATTCTCTTATAAATTCTATTTCGTTCGGGGGGGGGGGGGGGGGTTGTAGCCTGAAAAAAAACACTCTACCACGACTACTAAACTCTGAACCCTACTGTGTACTTTTCTGTGCACCCAACAGACGGAATTTGCCAAGCCTAGGTCTAGCTAGATCCACCCGCCCCCAGTAGAAAATAAAAAAAAATAACATGTAGACCCAGCTTCTCTGGGCGTGGCCGTGTTTTCTTAGCGCTGGTCCCTTTTCTCCCACGATTAGCAATGTTGTGTGACGCGGGGCGAATGAGACCGTCCAACTACTTCTGGCACACAAAACTTGAGTCTTGGTACAGTTTTAGGACACACATACGACATGGAGTTGTCCTGGTCAAATATTTTCCCATCTTTGATGGCGGGCTAGGCCTGCCAACACTTGTACAGGATGTATCTGAAACTATGGGTTACGCCCTCTACCGGCAGAAACTATGGGATACGCCCTCTACCGGCATAAGGTGTAGGCGATCTTTTATTAACTAGTGTTTAATGAGGTCATGTCTAGGTAATCCTATATTAACTAGTCTTTATTGGGGGTCATGTCTAGGTAATCCTATATTAACTAGTGTTTAATGGGGTCATGTCTAGGTAATCCTATATAAATTAGTCTTTATTGGGAACTTTGTGTAGGCGACTTTATATTCTTTATTGGGGGTTTTCTATTTTATAACAGATCAGGGGAATACATATATTAGTGTTTGTTCAGCATTACATAGCCTGGAAAATCTGGTTTTATAAAGCTGTCAGGATCCCAAAAAGGTGTGATTTAAAAAAAACCCGTTAAAACGTCAGAATATTCTTAACGTCATTAAAGTGACAAACTGACCTATTTTTTTCCGTGATCAAATTTGCCTTACTAAATAGATCTACACAAGTTTAGAATCTGGGACGGTCTGTGACGTAAAAGCAGCATGTCACACCCAGTGAGTCACGTGATACTTGGCCTACTGGGCCAGGCTGTTGACACGTGGCGTCTGGAGACGGTGGTCGTGGTCGTCATCACAGGCAGTGGCGTGGGCCGAGAGGCTCCTGGGACGACAGGTTTAACAAGATATACAAAGATGTTTTTTTTAAAACCTGGGTGGACTCAGGGCCCTCCTACAAATCCTGTCAATTTTTAAACCTTAAAAAGGCTGCACAAAATGTAGGTTAAGATGCACACATACAAACATACGTGGGTAGAACTTTTTTTTCTATAGAACATGCTAGAAGCATGAGTCAACATTTGTTAGCCTAGCGTTATATGAGGGGGTGGGGGGGGGGGTTCTGCCAGACAGTTAAGTCAAGACGGGAAAATTGCCATCTCAGCAAGTTTTGGTACATCAGAGAACGTGTATCTGTCATCTTGATGTATCAGTAGGTTCGGTGACATCCTAGAGATCCAGAGATATAGCATCTTTTCATCTGGTGTAGCTAAAAATAAATCTGGCAATCCTAAAGGAGACTAATTTTTCAGAGAAAATGATGGGTGCATCCGCTGAACTGTGACATTCAACAAACGTTGCAAGTGTGACCTTTAAAACCTGCAAACACCCACGCGAGTCCCCAGTGCTAAAACCTGCAAACACCCACGCCAGTCCCCACTGCTAAAACCTACAAACACCCACGTACAACCCCAGTGCTAAAACCTGCAAACACCCACGCCAGTCCCAGTGCTAAAACCTGCAAACACCCACGTACAACTCCAGTGCTAAAACCTGCAAACACCCACGCCAAAGCTAGTCCAAACGAAAGACTGCCAAGAACCTTGGTGATGTTTAGAGAGACGACTCTATTAAAACATGTATGAATTTTGTATCTTGCTTTTTGGAGTTGAAACCGCAATTGATAAAACCACTTGAAATAAAAATATAATGTTTTATGTACACTAGCATACAGATATGTCAACTCACTGTACACTCAACATTGACAGTTAGAACGTCAGTTGCCACTAGGGCCGGCCCCACCTCTGTTGATCCAGTTTAAACCAGCGCTCCACTCGACTACATTTAGCAAGGTCATGTAGGTCTTCTGGTGACCTGGTCATACAAGGTCATCCAGCATAGAGTCACATTTACATCCAGCCACTGGTCCCACTCTGATTGGCTGGCCCCACTTTGATCAACTGGCCCCACTTTGATCAAATGGTCCCACTTTGATCAACTGGCCCCACTTTGATCAAATGGTCCCACTTTGATCAGCTGGCCCTACTTTGAATAGCTGGTCCCACTTTGATCAATTGGTCCAACTTTGATTGGCTGGCCCCACTTTGATCAAACGGTCCCACTTTGATCAAATGGTCCCACTTTGATCAAAATGGTCCCACTTTGATCAAATGGTCCCACTTTGATCAAATGGTCCCACTTTGATCAAATGGTCCCACTTTGATCAAATGGCCCCACTTTGATCAAATGGCCCCACTTTGATCAAATGGCCCCACTTTGATCAGTGGCCCTACTTTGATCAAGTTACCCCACTTTGATCAGTGGCCCTACTTTGATCAACTGGCCCCACTTTGATGTGAGGTACCGACTAGTGTGGTCTAGATAAAGAAAGATTTGCTGCCATCTCTGTGCTGTTGATCAGGTATTAGCACGCACATAGATCTTGTCATTGCATGTGGAGGGTGACGAATATTGTGGGGCTTGGAAAAAATGACACTGCCAGTTCAAAACCTAGAACAGATAGTCGCCCTAGGACGGGGAAGGGTGGGGGTGTTGAAAGGTGAGGGTGGCCATCTTATCGTCAGGTGGGTGATTGGCCAGGTGCGAGATGTGGATGTTGGCCAGAGAATTTGTAGGTGTGGTCAGATCAAACATCACGTGATCTGGCCTGCAGACGTCACAATTACTGTGCACTTTCAACGGTGGATGTCGAGAATAACCTCGAAATTGTCTACAAAATATTTTTAAAATCTAGTGCAATGTTATTAAAATAAATTTGGTTATAAATATCAGGCTGTTTGATTTTTGATCGACTTAACTTCAGATTGAATGTTTTTTTTAAAATTAATTATATTTTAAAAAATTGTATCAGCAAAGTTTTGAGTACAAATTACAGAGTTTCTTTTATTAGTGGGGTTTTCAAAATATCCATCACTGAGTGTCTCTACAACCAATGAATGTTTGTCTCATGAAACTAAAACCAATAACCCAACTACAGCCCATCTTCCCCACCCCCCTCCAATACCTCACCTAGAATCCTGTGCATCCATCTCATCTCACCTCTAATTGGTGGAGCTAACTGCAATTAATTTGTGTCTATATACACCTGGCTTTATTCAACTCATTAATACCTGAGCTAAGTAAATTTGATTATCCTCCACAAAGGGCATCTGTTTGACTTAGTCAAGGTGCTCCCACTTAGAGATTGCCAAGACTTGCATTGGCTTAAATTATGCAACAATTAGGACGCAAATTCAAATCTACAGTATGGCTTATAACAAACTTGAACAGCTAAGCTGGTGAGCTTGATATGTTGGAAGAAATATGAAATTACAAAATAATACCAGTAGCACATAGCCATATGATCTCCAAACGATCCTCCCAAATGTAATATTTCTAATCCTCCCATACTCGATGTTTCCAGTTCTCCCATATTTGATGTTTCTAATCCTCCCATACTTGATGTTTCTAATCCTCCCATATTTGATGTTTCTAATCCTCCCATATTTGATGTTTCTAATCCTCCCATATTTGATGTTTCTAATCCTCCCATACTTGATGTTTCTAATCCTCCCATATTTGATGTTTCTAATCCTCCCATTACTTGATGTTTTCAAAAATCTCATACCTGATGTTTCTAATCCTCCCATATTTAATGTTTTCAACAACCTCATACTTGATTCTTCTAGTCACATTTGATGTCTCACCAAACCTACTGGAACAAACTCAGCTTTAAACAACTACTCTAAAGGCTACTCACTCCTGCTCACACCTGACCCAACCCACGGGATAAAGCCCTCGTCACATGCACGTTCACTGCCAAGATCTCAGACACGTCTTTGTGTGACCAAGACATTTAAACATTTCCCAGACAAAACAATGCACTGTTTAAAAAAAAACGTTGTGTTCCCCATTACACCTGATTGTACATTTATAGGGAAAGTCTGCCCACAACAAGTGTGTCCGCTGTAGAGAAAAACTCCATGATAATGTTAACTGTATACATTTATATGGAGACTCAGCCAGATGCGCTAGACAAGCAACGCAGTCTGTCATTAGACCATCATTAGCCACAGTGTTCCAGGTCACCTGTGATGATTGATTTCAAAAGCTAAACTATAAACTAAAGCCTTCAATCGCCGCTGTTAGCTCTCACATCTTTGTTCAAATACTTATTCAAACCGCAGACATCAAATAGAGCTACCCCCCCCCCTCCCCCCGTGCGACCTACTGCCTCTTGTGCCAACAGATGACGAGAGACTTTTGGTTTTTTACCTGTCTGATCCCACACCTCAGTCAACATCGGTGGACCGGGTGCCGGGTGTCCGGGCGCCCGCCCCCGTACGGCAAAGCTTTAAATGGTCGGCCTGTAGCAGAACATCGTCATTCGTCCTGGGCTTTTAGGGTTGACATTTTTCTTGGATCCATCGGCTAAACTCACAGAACAGTAAGTGACTTTTACAACGGCTAAAGCTAAACTCATTTCACAGAACAGTAAGTGACTTTTACAACTACATCAAAACTCATTTCACAGAACTGTAAGTGACTTTTACAACGGCTAAAGCTAAACTCATTTCACAGAACAGTAAGTGACTTTTACAACTACATCAAAACTCATTTCACAGAACTGTAAGTGACTTTTACAACTAAATCTAAACTTATTTCACAGAACAGTAAGTGACTTTTACAACTACATCAAAACTCATTTCACAGAACTGTAAGTGACTTTTACAACTACATCTAAACTTATTTCACAGAACAGTAAGTGACTTTTACAACTACATCAAAACTCATTTCACAGAACAGTAAGTGACTTTTACAACTAAGCTAAACTCATTTCACAGAACAGTAAGTGACTTTTACAACTAAGCTAAACTCATTTCACAGAACAGTAAGTGACTTTTACACGGCTAAAGCTAAACTCATTTTACAGAACAGTAATTGATTTTTACAAAGACCAAATCTAAACTCATTTCACAGAACAGTAAGTGACTTTTACAACGACTAAATCTAAACTCATTTCACAGAAAAGTAAGTGATTTTTAGAACGACAAAAACTCTGAAGGAAATATTATTTCATACATTGGATGGAAAATATAGCCAACTAATGAAATCCGATTCTAAAAAACCGGGGAGTTAAGAAAAAAAAGTTTTTTTTCCCTACAAAACAAAGCTAAAATACTGTTAAAAATATCAACCATCTGTCTTTTATTCTTTATTATTAAGATTCAGTATAGAATAAAATTCTACATAAATTTGAAAGCACTTAAATATTGGTAAATGAATGGATCCCGTTCATGACGTTTATATTTTACGTACCTCGCAATACCTTGGTCTTAGACCTCAGCGTACACAAACTACTTTCAAATGTAATGAGGGGACACGCAAGCTGACAAGGCTCAGACTACAACACACACAGAGAAGAAAACAATTCTAATTACAGCTAATCTTTTGTTTTTCGCAGATTCAAAAGACGAAAATGTTTGGACTTAAATTAGCAGCGACCTGTCTGCTCCTTGCTCTGGCCAATGGCCAGTTTACTCCCGGGAGTGCCCCATGTAAGTTTCTCACCCACATGTCATTATACGCGCTAATTAGCGCTAATGAAACGTTTTAATGCCGGCCATTTTGTATCTCCCAGCCTGCTCTGACGTGAGAACCCAGGCCGGCTACAACCTCCTGCCACATCACGTTTACTGCCAGCTGTTCATCAACTGTGATGCCGCAGGCAACCAGTTCGTCCAGGCATGCGGCCCTGGCACCATATATGACGTCAACATGGGATTCTGTACTCACATCGTCTCGGCTACCTGCAATGCTTGTGAGTAGATAGTGTGAGGGTAGTTGTGTGTGAGTAGCATGTGTGGGGGTAGTTGTGTGTGAGTAGAATGTGTGGGGGTAGTTGTGTGTGAGTAGAATGTGTGGGGGTAGTTGAGTGTGAATATAATGTATGGGGGTAGTTAAGCTTTAATGAGTAGGTAGCATGTTTGTGTGTGTGTAGGTGGGGAGCTGGTATTGTGTGTACTTACTTACTTACTTAATCCTCATCACTCCCTGTGGAGTATAGGGCAACAACAAATCTCCGCCATTCCACCCTGTCCTGGGCGAGCCACTTTAGTTCTCGGTTGCTCTCCCATGATGGTTTGATTTAGATCTGTTGCCGTTTCTGTAGCGTTTTTGTTTTTACATGGTGGGTTGCTAGCCCAAACCCAAAACCCTCCTCCTTTCCCATTCTGGACTTGGGACCAGACAATGGCGGAGTTGGTATTGTGTGTGGGTGGATGTTATTATGTGTGGGTAGCGGTCTCACTGAGGGTAGAGTGTACCAATTACGGTACATCAAAAGTATTTTAAAATTTGTAATAAAAGATAGTTTAACTTAATGCGGCAAAGCACAATTATGTTTACAAGACATCATTCCCTCTTAAATGGCCTACTTGAGTCTGAAAATGTATATTAAATATTTACTTATTTAAACTTAGTAAGAAAAATTATTGAATTCAGTTAAAAAGACAATAAACCATAAAGATAAAAAGTTATAGAAATTGTTTGAAAGAGTTTTTTTTTTAATTGTTGGTGTGTGGCTTGTACCTTCTCCTCATGGATGTTCGACATTTTCAGGGACATGCAATGCCAACACTGTGGGCCGCAAGTACCCGGCACTGTGCAGAGATCAGTACTTCACATGCCAGGGGGTAAGTTGTCCCTAGCTAATACAGAAGTAACTAAGTTGTCCCTAGCTAATACAGAAGTAACTAAGTTGTCCCTAGCTAATACAGCAGTAACTAAGTTTTCCCTAGCTAATACAGCAGTAACTAAGGTGTCCTACAACACAGAATAGGTAGGGATGAAACACTACTTCAAGTTTATTGTAGTCTATGTCATAGTAACACAGACACTCTCATATGTGTATTGTTGTATATAAAATATATCTGAATAGAGTATTGTTGTTTGTAGAATGGCTACAGATTGGAAGTCTGCCCATCTGGACAAGTGTTTGATATGACCAGCGGCAACTGTATCAACCCAGCCAACCCCGCCAGCTACGTGGACCACCCATTCTGTGCTAGAGCCGGCACAGGCAATGGTGGGTAACTATCTACACCACCAGCTCTTGGGGGGGGGGGGGCGGGGGTGATATTAGTAACTGCTTCTAGCTACACTACCAGATCTTTGGGGGAGGGGAGGGGGTGATATTAGTAACTGCTTCTAGCTACACTACCAGATCTTAGGGGGGGGGGGGGAGGGGGTGATATTAGTAACTGCTTCTAGCTACACTACCAGATCTTAGGGGGGGGGAGGGGGTGATATTAGTAACTGCTTCTAGCTACACTACCAGATCTTAGGGGGGGGGGGAGGGGTGATATTAGTAACTGCTTCTAGCTACACTACCAGATCTTAGGGGGGTAGTGAGAGTAGCTGCTTCTAGCTACACTACCAGATCTTTGAGGGAGGGGAGGGGGTGATATTAGTAACTGCTTCTAGCTACACTACCAGATCTTAGGGGGGTAGTGAGAGTAGCTGCTTCTAGCTACACTACCAGATCTTAGGGGGGGAGGGGGTGATATTAGTAATTGCTTCTAGCTACACTATCAGATCTTTGGGGGAGGGGCAGAGGCGTAGCGACCCTTCCCGGCGCCCGGGGACAAACTTTCAATTTGGCGCCCCCTCCGGAGCAAATTTTCAATTTGCACCCCCCCCCCCTTAAACTTTTGATTTGCATCCCCTCCCTCAAACAATTTATAATGCAAAAATGCAGCTAAAATAGCATTTTAATTTGTTTTTACAACCCATTTTGGCGCCCCCTAAAGTCGGCACCCGGGGATATATGTACCCCCCCTGCCCCCCGCCATCGCTACGCCTCTGGGGAGGGGCATTAGTAACTGTTTCTAGATACATATCAGATCCTAGGGGATAATTAGATTAAAATATATACAAAATTCTAGGCAGACTAGTTCTAGCAGTCGTTTTTGCTTGCTTATATAAAAATTATACCAAGATTATGGATTATACAGAAAGTAGGGGGGGGGGGGGTGCATTTGTTTCTAGGCTTCGCTTTGAGATTTAAAAAAAATCATCTTGTTTTTTCAAAATGCAATCAATATCGGAAAATTCAACGCTATTGTCTTCATATGGTTGGGAACTAATGTATTTGCAGGCTTTTCTGACAGAAAGTTTTGTAGGAATTAGTAGAAACCTTTATGCATTTGATAATAAATTAATGTCACTTTAAATCTATTGTTTTCTTATAAATATTTTTTTTAAAATTATGTGAAACGGGGTGTTTTAATAAGTATAGGTTTTGCCTAGGGCGATAAATAACGTGGCGCCGGCACTTGGGATGGGTGAGGGGTGGACAATCAATAATTTCACGCTTCTTACAGAAACATCTTCTCTTCACACGTGTGCTCTATCTATGTTACCTAATTACATTAATAGTTTACCACTCTCCATGTTTAAAAGTTAAAAATCTGACGTTTGTTTTTGCAGCCAACACCTGGACCTGCTACGACAAAGCACAATCTAACCCCTGCCTGTACACCACTGAGACCCCCTCTATGAGGATTGAGAACCGTCAGTGTGGTGCCGGCACCTCCTTCAACCAGACCACGTGCCAGTGCAGCGACTTCAACAGCAATTGTGGTGTGTCTACAGTCAACTACGCCGCCCTCAAGGCCCGAGGTGAGATATGGTCACAGCTATGGCTGCAGCTTATGAGCTCTTCGGTCAGGCACAGCTATGACTGCAGCTAAACTACTCGCCATATAGACGCAGCTACAGATTTAGTTACAGATAAAGTAAATTCTTCAGCATCTTGGCCAAACTACTTAGCTGCTATTATTTTTATTTCTTTCATAGGCCAGTGTAAAAATTATAATTCAAAACTAGTTTCCTATCAGCTACAAATAGAAACGATTGAGTGTAGATTATTGGTATGGCCACTTGTCATTAAGGCATTTTAATACCTGCTAATTTTTCTATTTTTTTTATAGGCTCGTGGAGAAAAACATTTAAAAACTAGTTTCCTATCAGCTACAAACAGAAACCAAGATTGTACATTAGTGGTATGGGTCACTTGTCTTTCTGATCTTTTAAGATCTGGTCGTTTTTCTCTAGATGACCAGTGCCGCGCCTCTTTGAACGTGGACTTCAACGCCCTCCCCTTGGTGGCCACCACAGAAAAACTGACGAGCCCCAACACCCCCTTGCCATACACCTTCCAGACCATTGGAGTAACCGTAGCTGGAGGCATCGGCACCTTCAGGTAATTAACAGTCACATTGGTACATGTAGCTACATTGTAAGATTCTGTTAAGAAAAAATCGGTAAAAATTACTTTTTGTAGTAGTAATCACTTCCCCAGAAAGTGTGTAGTAGATTATATGTGAATCAAATGTGGTCGACGTGGTCAAGTGGTAGAAGGTTTGGCTGCCAGACCGAAGTCTCGAGTGACTGTAGGGCGCCCTTGTCACTGTCAAACCATTGCTTGTAATATTTGTATGAGTAAAACAAACGATTCGATAATTAATGGTAATTTTTTTTCTTTAAATAGACGCGACCCTATCAATTACAACAATGTCTACGCCTATGGATATTTCTTTAACGCCAACCAACTGGCCGCACCTTGGGCTATTTCAGTTGTATTCAGAGCTGACCAACAGGTAGTCTAAATATTCGATTAAGTATTTCATGAATGTTATTTTTTTGGTGCATCAAAAGTATTATTTTTGCTAGTATTGTTACCCGTGCTCTAACATCAGCCCAAAATTCATTCACGACCCTGACACAAAATGACTTCTCTAGCGATACGGGCAGATAAGACACATAGATGTCATACTGTATCGATACCGCACTGTGATGCTGCGTACACGAAGAACTACTTTTGGGCCTACCCCACTACGTGGAATATTATCAACATTTTTATGTAGTATACATATATCAGCAGTAGTTAATAACAAATGTTCTATTACTTGAGTCCTCCCCTCCTTGCATTATTTGTGCCATCACATAACGTTTGTTTCCTCAGAGCGGAGAAACCTTTACCGTCCTCTCTAATGTCTACCTGGCCGACGCCTGCACACCTACCCTGGAAGTCAATGGGGTTTACAGTAAGGCCTGACGTACTTTGACGTGACAATGGGGCTTACAGTAAGGCCTGACGTACCTAGACGTGACAATGGGGTTTACAGTAAGGCCTGACGTACTTTGACGTGACAATGGGGTTTACAGTAAGGCCTGACGTACTTTGACGTGACAATGGGGTTTACAGTAAGGCCTGACGTACTTTGACGTGACAATGGGGTTTACAGTAAGGCCTGACGTACTTTGACGTGACAATGGGGTTTACAGCAAGGCCTGACGTACTTAGACGTGACAATGGGGTTTACAGTAAGGCCTGACTTACTTTGACGTGACAATGGGGTTTACAGTAAGGCCTGACGTACTTTGACGTGACAATGGGGTTTACAGTAAGGCCTGACGTACTTAGACGTGACAATGGGGTTTACAGTAAGGCCTGACTTACTTTGACGTGACAATGGGGTTTACAGTAAGGCCTGACGTACTTTGACGTGACAATGGGGTTTACAGTAAGGCCTGACGTACTTTGACGTGACAATGGGGTTTACAGTAAGGCCTGACGTACTTTGACGTGACAATGGGGTTTACAGTAAGGCCTGACTTACTTTGACGTGACAATGGGGTTTACAGTAAGGCCTGACGTACTTTGACGTGACAATGGGGTTTACAGTAAGGCCTGACGTACTTAGACGTGACAATGGGGTTTACAGTAAGGCCTGACTTACTTTTACGTGACAATGGGGTTTACAGTAAGGCCTGACGTACTTTGACGTGACAATGGGGTTTACAGTAAGGCCTGACGTACTTTGACGTGACATTAGCTGGGTAGTTGTACTTGTATGAGATGTTGCTGATAGGGTTTTGTCGCAAAGATTTTCTCATGCTATTTTAATTAAAGTAGCTTTTCGGATTTGGTGACTGTTATCCGAGGCTATTAGAAATTTGAATTCTACAATATTGGCTTTTATAAAAGTGGAATAACTTAGAAAAGAAATTAAGTGACCGTTCCTAGCTACACCATCAGAACTTTTCTTCGTTAAAAACCAAAGGTTTAATGACTAATTTAACATCATCATACAATTAATCAATTGAAACATAAGCAATTTTATTCCAAAATAAACAAATAGCATTAAACTACACTACTCCATTTCATTTGGAAATAAATTAGAAAATCACTTATACTTAACCCTTATAAAGTTCATTATTTAAACACGAATTAACGTTCTTAATATTTATAGTGTTATGCTTTCTTTGGAAAAAATTGTGCGGGGGTTGTAATGACGATAGGGTTAAAGTTTGTCCCTTGCAAGAAGAGCAACATAGTTAAGATTTGTATGTATTGTAAGATGGGTCATCACGTGATTTACCACGTGTTGTGGTAGCCATATGGTATAGTAAAAATTGTTGTTTCAGATGGCAACCGTTACACCATTACCATCAATGTTGTTGGTGCCACAGCAACTGGTGCTGGTACTGAGAACAGAATTCCTGCTACCACATCAGCTGGCATCAACGTCAACGTGAGTACAGATATAAGCAATGGAGACACACTAGAGCAAAGATATATACATACTTCTTTATATGGATATATAAATATATATATGTGTTTATATATATATATATATATATATATATATATATATATATATATATATATATATATATATATATACATACATATATATATATATACATATATATATATATATATATATATGTATATATATATATATATATATATGTATATGTGTGTGTATATTTACATATATATATACATATGTATATGTATGTATACATATATACATATACACACATATATATACATGTATATGTATATTATGCTTCTTTATATTGAATTACTACTGTGATTGAAGTAGCAATGTAATTACGTGAACAATCAAACATCGCTAACAAAAGTACGGCACACAAATATAAAAGGCAAGTATTGACCAACGTTCTCGATCTCTTGCAGTCTGGAAACTACCTGGAAGTACTTCTGACCTTCGATAGTACCCTGTCTGGTCAGCTGATCGACAGAGGAAGCAGTGGTACCTCCAACAACAACAAGGTCGAGATCCCCGCCACACCCAACATTGGAGGTCAGTCATCTGAGCACCACCAAAACAGTGGGGTGGAGGATTTATGTCACGTCGTTATACACCTAACTAACCCTAACCTAAATGTTGTGTAAACATTAATGTGTCTCTACCTAAGTTAAACCCTAAGCAAATCCTAAACCAAACCCCAAACAATTCAAAATTAAGAAAAATTGGAATAAAAACTTATGCGCATTATAGTAAACTGGTATGAGTGGTTGGGCGGGTAAGCATAGGGTTGCTAACCCGGAAGTCCCGAGTTCGAACTCTCGGATAGATGAAAGTAGTTAACATGGGGCAGCAAGTTAGAAGAGAAAACTCCTAAATCAAGCAGCAGGGAGCCTCTAGGCGTTTCAGTTACCAACTCAGGTTTCCTGCGACACTGCTGGGTCCATCAGCTGTGCGGAGAAAGGGCACCGTCTGATACATGGACAACATCTGGCTCTTCTCATCTATGTGCTTGGATTTCCAATGCGCCATGGTCTATTAGACTATGGAGCCATATTATTACTATAATATAGGTTTAATTATCCCACTAAGACCACAGGCACATGTTCTTCATGTTGTCTAATGTTGTATTGTGATTTTTCTTACAGCCTATGTGGCTACCAACAGGTGCGGCTTCAGCTTCGGTAAAAACTTGAATGGAGCCATCGATAGGGTAGGTTGTTGTTGTTTTACTAGACAATTAAGAATGATTTCTAACTTGACAAATATTAAAATATAAATAACTGGCCTTAGTGTAACCTCTAACTAAACGCCCTCTCAACTCTAGCTCTAACCTAACCAATGTTTCCCCTAACCTAACCAATGTTTCCCCTAACCCAACCAATGTTTCCCCTAACCTAAACAATGTTTCCCCTAACCTAACCGATGTTTCCCCTAACCTAACCAATGTTTCCCCTAACCTAACCAATGTTTCCCCTAACCTAACCAATGTTTCCCCTAACCTAACCAATGTTTCCCCTAACCTAACCAATGTTTCCCCTAACCTAACCAATGTTTCCCCTAACCTAACCAATGTTTCCCCTAACCTAACCAATGTTTCCCCTAACCTAACCAATGTTTCCCCTAACCTAACCAATGTTTCCCCTAACCTAACCAATGTTTCTCCTAACCTAACCAATGTTTCCCCTAACCTAACCAATGTTTCCCCTAACCTAACCAATGTTTCCCCTAACCTAACCAATGTTTCCCCTAACCTAACCAATGTTTCCCCTAACCTAACCAATGTTTCCCCTAACCTAACCAATGTTTCCCCTAACCTAACCAATGTTTCCCCTAACCTAACCGATGTTTCCCCTAACCTAACCGATGTTTCCCATAACCTAACCAATGTTTCCCCTAACCTAACCAATGTTTCCCCTAACCTAACCAATGTTTCCCCTAACCTAACCAATGTTTCCCCTAACCTAACCAATGTTTCCCCTAACCTAACCAATGTTTCCCCTAACCTAACCAATGTTTCCCCTAACCTAACCAATGTTTCCCCTAACCTAACCAATGTTTCCCCTAACCTAACCAATGTTTCCCCTAACCTAACCAATGTTTCCCCTAACCTAACCAATGTTTTTCCTAACCTAACCAATGTTTCCCCTAACCTAACCAATGTTTCCCCTAACCTAACCAATGTTTCCCCTAACCTAACCAATGTTTCCCCTAACCTAACCAATGTTTCCCCTTACCTAACCAATGTTTCCCCTTACCTAACCAATGTTTCCCCTAACCTAACCAATGTTTCCCCTAACCTAACCAATGTTTCCCCTAACCTAATCAATGTTTCCCCTAACCTAACCAATGTTTCCCCTAACCTAACCAATGTTTCCCCTAACCTAACCAATGTTTCCCCTAACCTAACCAATGTTTCCCCTAACCTAACCAATGTTTCCCCTAACCTTACCAATGTTTCCCCTAACCTAACCAATGTTTCCCCTAACCTAACCAATGTTTCCCCTAACCTAACCAATGTTTCCCCTAACCTAACCAATGTTTCCCCTAACCTAACCAATGTTTCCCCTAACCTAACCAATGTTTCACCTAACCTAACCAATGTTTCTCCTAACCTAACCAATGTTTCCCCTAACCTAACCAATGTTTCCCCTAACCTAACCAATGTTTCCCCTAACCTAACCAATGTTTCCCCTAACCTAACCAATGTTTCCCCTAACCTAACCAATGTTTCCCCTAACCTAACCAATGTTTCCCCACCCCTCAGATCACCGTCCGCGAGGGTTGCACCAACTTCTCCCGAGTCCGAGTCTAAAGCCCCCGACAGCCAGAGATGGGTGGCTTACAAGTACAGTCAAACTTCAAGAAAAAGTTAAAAGAAGTACGAATCAATCAATAAAAAAATTCGAACATTTGTTTCTCTTATCGCCTTACTGTTCTAGTATGGATAAATGTGATGTTTGATACGTCTGGTCAAGACTGCCTGTCTGGTGTTAGTATGGATGGATGTGATGTTTGATACGTCTTGTGTTATGGAATGTGTCCTGTGTTAAGTCGTAGAGCAATCGATATAATGTCCCAGATAGCACACACTCTAAGTTAGACACAAATGTGGCCCTTTTGGCCTCTAGAATCAACAGAGACGTAAAAATCCTCTATGGAGCGAGTGTCTGGGTATCAGATGAAGAGATCGTGGGTTGCATCGTGAATGCCAGAGATTATGTTTTGGACCAACGAGGTTACAGAAACTGTCGAGAGTAACCAGGCGATGTCAGCTGAGATGGCTGAAGTTGTTTGGGTATCAGGTGCAGGGCAGATAGAGAAACAGTGGCATCAGGTGCAGGGCAGATAGAGAAACAGCGGCATCAGGTGAAGGGCAGATAGAGAAACTGGCAAGGACAATGTTGAATGGGATATTCTTGGACACAAGGCAAAACTTGACACGTGGTTACTGAAAGTCATTCATTTAAAAAATAACAGGTTGTCCTTAAATCACGTCACACTATTCCCATACTAACTGACCGTCACTCTTACAGTAAGACTTAAATAACGCCGCTAAGTTCCCTGCACATAAACCATAATTCGAAAGAAAAGTCAGTGATGTTTTTGATTGTATCGTTTTTATTCAGGACAAATACAATCATCCTCATTTCTTCCCACCGCTATATACAACGACATATTTCATAAACCCCAGTATTACAAAATACCACATTTCGTAACCTCTCTCTCTCTCTCCAGCCGATCAAACACTATTTTCTATGAAAGACTCAATGAAATTATCAATGACAGAGTCAATGATAACTACCGCTCTCCTGTATTTTTCTCTCGAGAAACTCAATGATAAAGCGTTAGTAGTTATAAAGAGAGAGAGAGAGTTTATCAAAACGGAAATAATTCAACTCGTTTAATTAATAAAGCGTTAAACGTAGTTATTAATTCTTAATTTCTCAGCGATTGATACAATTGTTTAGGGACAGTTAAACTATTTTTTAAAAATATAGATCCTCGATCTTCATTTATAATTTATTAATAAAAATAAGATTTTTAAAAAATAATTAAAACAGGTCTTTGTACTATATTATTAAAAAAAACAACTAATGAATATAATAAATAATTTTGACTATTTCTCATTCTAAACCTATCGAATATCTTTTTTTTTTAAATGCAAGGTAATCTTTTATAGAACCTACATGATTAACTTTTCTTCTAATAATAAAAAAAAAACTCTAAATAAAAACTATTATTCCTACAAATATTAGAGTAGTCTCCCTGGACAGTTTCTATTCGAATGTATTTTGTGTTAATTTTCGTTATGAAATACAGTTGACTTTTTTAATTAATTATATAAGAAAGCAATCTATCTCTGTGTATATTTATTTTAAAAAATATTATTACAATAATTAGAATGGGTGTTTCTGGTTAAATAGCAATTATTCTCATTCTAAATCTTTGGCTATCGAGTTTCATGGGTTTTTAAATTTAAGATTATGAACACATTGGCTTGACGAAAATGATTATATACACTTAAATACATACTAAAATTTACTTTTGTTAATAAACCTACACTATTTTATGCACACATACAAAAAAGAATATTTTAGCGGCAGTTACAACGTCAAAAAAAAAAGAAACTCCTTTATACTGAATAGTTCTACGTAACAACAAAAATGTAAAAATACATAGTCCTAGAGCACACTAACACATACATATATATATATATATATATATATATATATATATATATATATATATATATATATATATATATATATATATATACGAAGATATGGGTGTGTGTAAGTAGGATGTGTGGTGGGTAGACAGGCGGGGTGGAAGGAAAGCAGTTTGGCAGGAATAACGGTAGGTAGGAAAGTAGGTAGGCAGGCAGCAGCGCAGGCAGGTTAGTAGATAGGTAGGTACATAGGCAGGGAGTTAGGTATGTAGGTAGGTGGGCCTAGGTAGGAAGGCGCCTCAATCGGTATAGTGAGCGATTATAGTAGCCCATCATATTCATAGCGTTTCGCAATTATTAAAACGAACAAAGGTACCATAGTACTCACGGGAAAACACGGGGAGCTAAATGGAACCCTGCCAGGGCGCCACCAAACCGATTTTTTTTTCGCAGAAACCACCACAGGGGTATTAGCATTAACTTCTCAGATTTGAATGACAAACGAATGAAATCTTTGGTAATGCTTATACAAACAAACCCACATATTCGTTTTTGGGGCGCGGGTTTATCCACACTGCCGCCTAGACGCACCAAGGCTCATTGTATGAAAGCCTTGAGTGTACGCTAATCAACCTCTGTAATAGTGAGGTAGAACACACATTGCGACCGCCCATGTGTTAGAGACGCGTCCCTTGGCGCTCCAGGGAGCCACTGGTTATACTCCCGCAGGGGCGCCCCTAATTCGGTTTAATTATAAAATGTCGTGTGCCACCGTGTCCCTATTGTAGGGTGCTCTTTAAAGAGGCACTCTCTGTAGAGCCCGGGGCGCTTGCTGTCGCCAACTGCCAGGGCGCCGGCGGGCGCTCATTATTCTACTTAGTGAACATTTATAGTAGCCCATCTAAACCGTAGTGTCGCCCGAGGTGGGTCTTGGCCGCTCTGGGCCACTCAACCGCCAGGGATCTGGCGGATGAACCTGGTGCAGTTTTATCACTGAATCTCAGAGGCGGAGCACCATTCCTGGCGCCTGGGGACAAATTTTCAATTTGGCGCCCTCCCCCCCCCCCTCCCGCCGGAGACAAACTTTCAATTTGGCGTCCCCCCCCCCCCCGTATTTTTTAAATATTTATAATGCAAAACTGTAGCTAAAATGAGCTTTTAAATTTTTCCCACCCATTTTGGCGCCCCTAGGGTTGGCGCCCGGGGACATATGTACCCCCCGCCCCCCTCTGCTGAATCTAGTATTACCTATGACCGCAATTGATGAGATAGCCCCTCTGGATTCCTCTCTGGATTCTGAGCTCATAATCGTATAATGAGAAAAATCGAATCCTCCCAGGGTGCCACACTTAACAATTTTTTTCTTTCTCGAAACCCTTTTCACCAACACCCCAAAATTTTATGACTCTCGTACGAACAGTGTCAAATTGCATCTGGCTTTTATTTTTATGGAGAAAAATTGCATTGCTTCCTGTCAGAGACCCCAGATCGAATGGGGCGCCAAAAGGGGTAGACATTTTTTTTTTAAATCCTCATTCTTCAGTAAAATTTAAGAAAACAGATTTATCCATGACTGATATCCTCAATTATTTTATATAGGGGAGTGTATGTAGGGATGGGCGCCTTTTTGCCAGCGTTTGAATAGGGTTGGCACAACAGTGATAGTTCGCCCCGGGCGCCGGAATAGGTTGCTACACCTCTGCTTCCTGCTAGGGCGCCGCCCTGGCGAAATCTTTCCGGCGGGGTGGGCGTGCGGACACTGTTAAAAGTATATTTTTTTCTATATAAATTCCGTTTCGTTCGGGGGTGGGGGGGGGTCGATAGACTTTCTTCGGGGGGTGGGGGGGGGGATCTACATGGACTACCTACAGGTCCCAACTCGCGACGAGGTACACATTTGTATTAAAACACACATCTAAGACTCAGTGTTTCTTCCAGACTTTTTTCTCCCCGTGGCGGTAGACTTTCTTCGGGGGGGGGGGGGGGCGGTAGACTTTCTTCGGGGGGGGGGGGGGGCGGTAGACTTTCTTCGGGGGGGGGGGGGGCGGACACTGTTAAAAGTATATATTTTCTATATAAATTATATAAATTTCATTTCGTTCGGGGGGGGGGGGGGGCGGTAAAAATTTTTCGGGGGAGATGCCTGGAAGAAACTCTGTCTAAGACATTTTCCATTTAGGTGGGTTTTGCAGTACAGTGGTTTCTTAAGTCGTGGACAAATGATTGCGCTTATCTCTATTGAGTAGCTATGTATTCTGTCCTATATTAGACACATTTGTAAATATCTGTCACAATATGGGCATAGAGATGATATAACGATAGCTTATCTTTGCGGACGACGCTAAACTTTGGCATCGACACCACCGCTTACAAGTTCAAATTCGGTCCTTCAGAAATGTTTGAAGTCTCTAGATTAAAACTACTTTTCTCTTTTATGTGCCTACTGACCACATCACAGTCATGCATTTGTTCTGAAAGTCTAAAAACAGAGGCACAAATATATCGTCTAGACTTGTGAGGTCTACAGATTAGGTATTTTGGCAGTTATCTAAGCCTTTGCCTGTTCTGACTCAAAGCCTTATTCTTTCTCTATCGACGCCTTGCGTAACATGGGATTGGGTTTTTAAGGCGGCATAAAGCTTTATGTTCTTCCTTTTTGAGTACACTAGATTAAAAACTAACGTTTTCAGATGCCTAAAGATGTTTAACCACTAATTAATCAGAATAATGGGTCAAGATTTCAATTCTTGGTTTTGGGACACGTTAGTTGCCGGGGTTGAGCTAATGTCGATAGCATAAGGACTGTACCTTGATGCGGGCGTTTTATTTGTTGCCCATCGTAATAATTGAATGGTTGATGGGGCTTCTTCAAGGGTTTGATTTGCCGTAATGTTAATGATATCATGCATGTGAGGCTTTTCTAAGAAGAAAATGCGTTAAAACACTTTTTAGTTATGCTTTTTTAAAAATAGGCCTATATTTTACGACAACATAATCGTAATGAACAATAAAATGAATTTAAACAACTTTAGAATACACCTGTTTCGGCTAACATGAATGTTATTCTTCAAACTAGTAATGTTAAACGTGTCTTTTTCGCATTTTCGACTTATAAGCAATACAGTAAATTCCGATAACTTCCATATGCGTACAAGCAATGGCGTAGGCGAGGAGGGGTTTAATAGTGATTTAATAATGATACTTTCTTAACCCTCTACTGGACATCATGTTTGGTACCTTGC